CATTAATCTTTGTTTACGAGCAAATGGAAATGGAAACTATAAATGTGAACTGAACAATGCTACTCATGAAGGAAACGAAAAAAAGTTGATAGACCAAGAGACGTATTCTTATCTCGCAGCTGAGGTAATGTAGCTTTCAATTCAAGATTAAGATTGGTTTATTTTGTTTTTCTTTTTAAAACTCTGAGTCTCGTATTCACCTTTAATTACGAACTTAAGTTGCCTTCCCTCTTTCAAGACATTAGCGGTAATGTTATGTCTGTGCTCTTCACCAGAATCTCGGAGAATATAGAAATAGGAGAACAACTATGATGACAAGGATAATGATGACGATATTGATGATGGTAGCGGTGCGTTTGATTATTAGACGATGAAAATGATTATAATGATTATACTGACAATGACAACGGTTTGTTTTTTTCTGTCAGAGTAATTGTGTTCAAAATTCTTGTAAGAACCATGCTACTTGTCAAAGCGGATTCACTAAGAAAGGTTATCGGTGCCTGTGTACCGCTGGATTTGAGGGTCCACTTTGCGAAAGAGGTAACACAACTTCAATGTTGATATCTTGAGGTCTACAGTTTAACAAAAAAAGGATAAACTTTACCACGGTGCTTGTTAATTGGATCTCGAAGAATAAAGGAGCTTTGTCTGTTGGCTTAAAGATCTCTTACTAGTCCGTAAGAATCGAACGACAACATGCCTTTGTTGCGGTTTCCTTACAAACACAATTCGATGGCGAATTTTTCTCTTTTTTTTTTTTGTTATTGCTTCTCATCATCTCCCTTCTCCTTACTCCTATTCATATATGAAGAAGGAAGCCTACCTAATTATTGTTGTGTTCACAGTTGTTGGTGCCTCTAGATATTTTTTTCCAGGACGATAAGTTTGTTTTTATTTATTTGTTCAGACATTAACGAATGTGTTCATGGGCTACACAAATGCAGCTCTGATGCGTTTTGCAACGATACCAAAGGTTCATACAATTGCACATGCAAACATGGATTCACGGGAAACGGACGGGAATGTAAAGGTAGGTGTTGGATCTCTTAACAATTATGCAATAAAAAAAAACTTACATTTGCAAATCATGCACAAAGGAATGGTAACTTAGATCTCGATCCTCTCAGCAAGAAAATGTATAGTGAAAATGAACGCCGGTAGAGATATATATGGACGAGACCACATTGAAAAATGATATTCTTGATTACCAAAGTGTTTTTGCATCAATTTGTATCAATGTAATCCTCACTGTTTAGTTTCACTCACCCTTTGTTTGACAGACTGTCTTATGGCTACAGAAACCTATGCAATATGTTCTCAACAATAAATATTAACGCTGTCCAAATCAAATACGAATATCAAGTAATGCTGCTGACCTTTTAAATCTTTTATATATTTTCGTCAATTATTGGTCGGCTTTATATCTATAGACATCGATGAGTGTGTCGAAGGGTCACACTCTTGCAGCCCTGATGCCTATTGCAACAATACCAAAGGGTCTTACAACTGTACATGCAAACCTGGATTCAATGGGAGTGGAAGAGACTGCGCGGGTGAGCGTTACTGTCGAGAATGTTGAGCAAATGAGGCGGATTTTTTAATTTGGAACTTTCTGATAAAACAAAAACTACTTTTACCATATTGAGAACAGTAAGTAAAGGAGGCCTACCCAATTTTTGTTGGTTGTTGGTGCTTCTATACATATATATGTATATTTTTTTGGTACGATAATTTTGTTTTTATTTATTTTTTTATAATGTATTTGCTCAGACGTCAACGAATGTGTTTTTGAACTACACAAATGCAGCTCTGATGCGTTTTGCAACAATACTAAAGGTTCATACAATTGGATTCACGGGAAATGGACGTAAATGTGAAGATAGGCGGTTGATCTCTTAGCAATTATATGATAAAAAATAAAGCCTACATTAGCAAATCATCCACAAAGGGGTGGTAACTTAGATCTCGATCCTCTCAGCGAGAAAATGTAAAAAACTGAACGCGAGCAGAGATGTATATGGCCGAAACCGCATTGAAAAATGTTATTCTTGATCACCTAAGTGTTTTTGCATCAGTTTGTATCAATGTACTCCTCACTGTTTAGTTTCATTCATCCCTTTGTTGGACAGACTGTTGTATGGCTACAGAAACCTATTTGATGTTCTCAACAACTAATATTAATGCTGTCCAAATCAAATACGAATATCAAGTAGTGCTGCTGACTTTTAAAATCTTTTATATATATTTTCGTCAATTGCTTGTCGGCTCTATGTCTATAGACGTCGATGAGTGTGTCGGAGGGTCACACTCTTGCAGCCCTGATGCCTATTGCCACAATACCAAAGGGTCTTACAGCTGTACATGTAAACCTGGATTCACTGGCAGTGGAAGAGAATGCGAGGGTGAGCATTACTTTGAGAATGTTGAGCAAAGGAGGCGGATTTTCTAATTTGATACTTTCTGATAAAACAAAAACTACATTTACCATATCAAGAACAGTACGTAAAGGAGACCTAACCATTTATTGTTGTTTTTACAGTTGTTGGTGCTTCTATATATATATATATTTTTTTTTTTTTTTTTAACGATAATTTGTTTTTAGTTATTTGTGTATTTTTTTGTTCAGACATCAACGAATGTGCTCGTGGGCTATACAAATGCAGCTCTGATGCATTTTGCAACAATACCAAAGGGTCTTACAACTGTACATGTAAACCTGGATTCACTGGAAATGGACGAGAATGTAAAGGTAAACGTTGGGGTCGAAATGTAGAGGAAAATAAGCTGGCGAAAAGTCTAGGTAAGAATTTTGACGATAGCACTGCTCTTCTTCTGAGCCTTGCAACCCTTATAAGTTTCTAAGGCTCTCTTCCGTGGACTGCTTTAAAACGTTTGCAAACTCGGATTTTTTAAAAATCCTTGCAGAGAAAATGGCTGAATTCGGTTTCCGCATGAAATCGCGATTTATGAAATCTTGTGTCTGTGTCTGCGCGATCTCCCTCATTCTTTGGCTTCAGAAGACAACTCAGATCCCGGTTTTGATATTTGTAGATATTATACTCAACTTCATCAAGTAAATTGCTTATTAGCTTAAAGCTTTTCTTCGACTTTGAAGAAAACATACATGCTGCCAAATAAAGTAAATGAAAACTGAGAAATCTTTCCAGCCAAAAAGCAGAACTTGGAACATGAACAAATTCTTCTGTCAATCAATCAGATTGCAGTCAGTATAGTTTCCCAATGATGGATTAAGATGTAGTTTAAAAAAAATTCAATTTCTTCTAATCAAAGATATTTTTAAACCTCTTGCAGGAGCTCTCTCGTGTAAAAGAATTCATGACATGCAAGTAGAATTGATTTTCGATATTATTTTCATAGTACATCAAATATCGCACTTACCCGCATACAGTTTAAGCCCATCACGGCACCGAATCAGTATACCCCAATTTTCAAACCACATTCCATATGCGAAGAAAGTCATCCTTTAAACCTTGATTAATTTCAGTGGATTGCATTATTGTCCTCACAGAAGAAGTGGAAAATATCCTTTACCTTTGCACACATGTTTGATTCAAGGGCACATAACCGAGTATTGTTATTATAAAGGCTGGTGTTTATATTCCGCAGATTTTGACGTCTGAAGGATCAAATTTTCATTTGCTTATTTGTTGAATCATTATTATTATTATCACTCTGTATCTTCTCCCATTATCATTTTCATTGCCACCGTTGTGGCTACGATAATTATTTTTATAAGCTCAAGTTTTATTTCACCATCTTTGTTTTCATTACTAGATGTATTTCTTTTTTTTTTTTCCTTTTGATTCAAAAGATCCAGTATGAGTCGTATGGTTACCCTTCTTGTTGACTCCCAACCATTGTCCGTTTTCTGTCACATGGGAAATTTTGGGTGTGGAGATGGAGGATGGACGCCAGTCATGAAGATTGACGGCAGAAAGGTGCATACTTTCATTAAATAATTAATTTCCTTTATAAACCCGCTCTCTTTCAAAACGTTGCAAGTTAAAAACGTGCATGTAACTTATGTATGCCTTTTGTGTTTCATCGAGAAGGTAATACATGAAGAACAGACCTCGTTCAAGATTTATTGTGTGTAGTGACTGTTGAAAAAGAATGAAAAAGAATGTATAAATATATGCTATATTTGTCTTAAATATCATGTAACAGCTAGATAAGAGATGCACACCATTAAGATCATAATTCGGATAAAAGCTGTTCGGAACAAAGAATATATATTATCTGAGTTGAAGTTCCACGCTAGTTAATGGATATGTAGAAATCACACTGATTTAAAGAGCTGTAATTGCTCATCCCCTACACAGCGGGGGAAGGGGGATAGGTAGAGGAGCATTCTTGGAGGACTATGGAACATTTAGGGCCAATTAACTTGCCAATGAGGAGGAATCATGGATCATAGGAATATCAGAGTCTTATCGGGGGATCAGGTTACTTTTATCGTGACACAAACAAACTCCAATTTGTTTTTGTTATATCTAAAAAGAGTTAGGAATTTTTTTAAGGAATAGCAACGTCTATCATCCTTCATCCTCTTCACAAATTATTATCATATCAATAATTCTTGATTGCCGGGCAAATGAAAACACATCAGAACGCCTTATAACTAGATAGGTATGTTATGCACTGATCTACGGCGCGGGGTCCGTGTTGGAAAAAAAATGACCTTAGTCTTCACGACACGATGCCGTAAACACCAAGGTCAATTCAACGGTAAAACAAATGAGTAATGGATCAATAAATGCAGATACACGACAAAACTTCGACAGCAAATATCCATTAATTCGGAGTAAATAAAAAATTGAATTGCTGCTACTTTTCAGACCACCTTCCGTTATGATGCGCGTTACTGGATAAATGATCAAGGCTACAATCTTCCCGGAGGGGAGACTGGGTTCGACGAACAGGAATCAAAGCTACCCACCTACTGGAACACATCCTTCTCCAAGATCTGTCTCGGTATGAAGATCAACCAACAACTTAGGTTTATTGTCATCCACAAGCAAGCTGACTCTCTGCACTCACTGATTGCTGATGGCCAAAACCGCGCCACTTCAATGGGTCGTGAGAAGTGGAAAGAGTTGATTGGTTTCCAAGGCTCATTACAGAACAACTGCAACAAAGAAGGGTTCAATGTCGTTTGTAGTTGGAGCGAATTTTCTAAAGCCAGAATTGGTATTGTTAGCAACAACCAGGACGAGTGTTCCACGTGCGACTCAAGGATCGGATTTGGCACAGGAGGGAGGCCTGACAATTTAAACTCGTGTGGTAATGAGGCCAATCATGAAACAGATAATGGAAAGAAACAGATCAAAGCCATGGGATACATCTTGGTACAATAAATATGACTCAATTTTCGCCAAAAAAAAAGAAAGTAAAAACACAAAACATTAATACTTGCAATTTTCATATATAGTTTTTCCTGTTTTAAGTGCAACCCCTCGGATGGGGACTTATTTCCGTATATAACTTTGGTTTTACCCTGGATCAATATCTAGCCATTCTTTCTATTCTTTATAGGTAAATTTCAGATACCAAGTGAAACACTTTTTCATGTAAAACGGCATATCAAACAGCATTCAAATATTCTGATAACAGAGGTGTCCAACTCGCTTACTTTGTGGTAGAAACTATTATTGGCCAATGATGTTTTCCAATATTATCCTCAAATTTCAGAAGGTGTATCCTTTGAGGAAGAGGTTGACGGGTCAAAATCTCTCCCACTGCGTTTCGATTGTTATGTATGACTATAATCTTTAAAGGATCGAGTTGGAAAGGAACAGCTCTGCTTTCTGGCCTAAATGAAATTGAGACGACACTTCAATAAAATAGACTAGTTTGTTGCAGTTTTATCTTTCGTTCCCTTCAGTGTGATGTAGTCGAACAGTTCTGGAGTATCAGCTCATCTAGGTTCGGGCGGGGCACTTATCTGATAACTACCTTGGACTTGTTACTTACATGTAACAATCTTCCGTAACTAATCTTGTCTCTCCGCCATATCACCCGTTTTACATGGGTGCCCTCTTTTCTACGCTCTTTCCTCTCTCCCACTTTATTCACCCTTTCGTTGCAAATCTCCAACTAATTCTCAGAACCGTATCTCCGTTGCTGGCCACCGTTTTCCCTTCCCTCACGGTCAGACTCTCTCTTAAAATGATATTCTTCGAAGTGAAAGCCACATACAATTCTCTTTTTATCGCTTTTCACTTTTTTCACTTTATTTTCTCTCGGAGACATAAAAATTTCAAACTGAATTTATGCTACTGCACCTTCCAGACTAATAAATGGTGCTTCGAGAAAAAATAGCTGCAAATTCTCATAATTCTTTGTTTTGCTGATAACTCTTTTTTAACGCCTAGCATCAGAACGAGGTCAGCACACATATTCCTCGGGTGACTTTTCTTCTGCCCTGATTTTTCTCTCGCTGAAAAACCTGCAGTGGTCCCTAAACCAACTACATGTCTCATCTATTTCAGCCCCCAGGCAGGTTATTTGTGGTAGCTTTAAAATCTCAATTAGCTCCATACGATATGTTCTTATATTCCAATAGGCTGTTGCAATTTCTTTTGTTTTGGTTTTTGACATCCCTCCCATCCACTGAAAAGCTCAAAGCCTTTCTTTTCCTATTCTCGGAATCCATTGTCCTCTACAAGAATTAAACAATTAAAAAATGGATGAACACTTATTAAACCTTTGACCCCTAAGAGTGACAAGCATCTAATTTCTCTTACAATGTCACCCCTGGATCAAACATTAAGGTCACCCAAATCAAGAAACTAATCACCCACTAAAGCTCTGGATTGTTATACTAATTCTCCTCCTTGACTCTTTAGAAAACATGGAGAGCAGTGGGGAGATATGCATCCTGGTTTTAGGGCGCCAAGGGTTAACCTTGAAATAGATTGGTATCCCACCCAATAGAGGTTGGTGGCAGAGTACGGGAAATAACAGGCCCTTAGTTGCTGTATAACAATAAAAGCTGGATAAGCTCTGGCAGGAACAGCCCTTTGACTTATGAGCTGATGTTACCTCTCACATGATTTCTATTTTCCAGCTGGTTAATTTTTTGAGAACAGTCACAATGGTCCTTAATACTGTTTTTATCAGTTGCTTTTAAAATATGTATAAATTGAAGTAGCCTGGAAACTAGGGAAAGATCCCAAATAAAATTTAGTACAGAACAGCCTGAAAAATGTTTATCATCAATTGTAGCTCACTAAAATTAGAAATAAACTTATAAAGCAAAATGTTTACAAGAAATACAAGCATGGAAATAACCATGGAAAAAATCTAACCCAAACTTTTCACAAGGAGAGAAATCTTGGATTTCGTTATTTTGACTTATAATACCTCACACACGTGTAGTATTGTTTCTTTAAAAAGTTTAATGCCTAGGGTACAGTAAAATTGGCAAAAATCATTTTCCCACATTCAGGCATAGCATTTTCAAAACTTTCTGAGAACCTACTACTCTAGGTCCCATATAGCCTTTATTCCTTGGATCGCAGCGTAAGTTCTCCTTACCATCTGCTATACATTTCTTTCAATGTTAGTATTAAGAGGGTGGTATTAAATTAAAGTTCACTTTATCATAAGGTTGTTTTCTTACAATTAAACATTCTGTGTAAATATCTAAACGACAAATTTGAGCCTCAGCAAAATGTTATCTTTAAATTTACTTCGCCACTCCTTGCCAAAGCATTCAAAAAGCGTTTGAGAGTACTTTTGTCGACTGCAGTAAAACCTGGATTTCTACGATCACCAAGTTAGGACCTTACGCACCATATTACAATTTCACCCATCCGTCATAATGAGTATGTATGTAATAAGTATGTATGCATGTAACTAGCGCCATTGCGGGCTGCTTATTTTTAGCTCTCTACAGTTGTTTAGATTTTATTCCTTGTGAGTCCATACCACTGATTTTCCTCAAGGTGTAAAGCTTCCTTGTGCCCTACTGAATCCTGTCATGCTGGTCTACTCAAGGAATTTTCTCCTCTCGCTACGTTGCTATCTGCGGTACCAGTAATTCTAGCTACGCGCCATTGCCGTCATCAGCATATGAAACCTCTTCCTGTTCTAGCTTGGAATACCGTAAAATCCGCTGGTATTGCTAGGAGGACCAGAAGTAGACGAGGAGGAACGGCTATTACCAAAATACACCGGATTAAGCCAATAACTCCGGCACTGCGAGATAGTGAATCTTTTACTAATGCAGCCGGCATGATCGGTGAACCGAATCGAGCGTATATGCAAATCAACTCATCTGGCCATAACAACATTATCATTGCTCGTGAGCCTATGAATCCTACACTACCAACATCAAAATCCATGCGATTTTCTCTCCTTAATCTACGATCAGTGAGGAATAAGACACCCTCTCTGAAGGATCTTACCGTGGACCGTAATATCGATGTCTTTGCTGCAACTGAGACTCGGCTTGCCAAAGAAACTGATGAATTAATTATACGTGACTTGTGTCCGACCGATTATGAATTCTACAATGTTCCAAGGGTTTCTGACGTTGGGGGCGGAATCGGTGTCATGCATAAGACCGTGGTTCGCCTCGAGAAGCATGGCATTGTGACCAATTTTAAATCCTTTGAATTTACGAATGTCTTACTGAAACATTCCTCGTTATGCTTGCGCCTTATTATTGTTTATAGGCCACAAACAATGGCAGAAGGTACCTCATCAGCTGCGAAATTCTTTGAAGAACTGCCTACTTTCTTGGAGTCTCTAGCTATTGTACCTAGCTTTCTGTTGATTGTCAGTAACTTCAATTTGCACGTAAATGACGCTAGTGATCGATCTGCATAACGGTTTCTCCGTCTACTTGAAGCTTTTAACTTGAAGCAACACGTCTGGGTTCCCACCCACAGGAGTGGTAATACCCTAGATCTAGTCATCACCAGAAATGATGAGAGTACAGCTCGGGACTTTGATGTTTTCGATCCAGTCATTTCTAACCATTACGCTGTCAGCTGTTCTCTGGCACTACCTAAAGAAGCGTTCGAGCGTAAAGAAGTCAATTATCGAAAACTGAAGTCAATTGATCTCCAAGAGTTGAGAGACGACATCTCTGATTCACCCTTAATTAGCACAGTTGATAAAGCCGGTCATGATCTAGAGTATCTCATAACGCTTTACAATACTACGCTAATTGGCCTGCTCGATAAGCATGCACCCCTGAAAACGCGCACTATTACGATTCGCCCTTCAGCACCTTGGTACACTGAAGACATCTGTGAGGAGAAACAAAAAAGAAGGGCACTGGAACGACGTTGACGAAAGGCTGGACTTACGGTCGATCGCGAGCGTTTCGTTGACCAGTGTCAGGTGGTAAACGAATTTATTTTGCAGGCAAAGACGGCCTATTATTCGAGGATTATTGACGAAAACCAATATGATCCCAAACGCTTATTCTCTATTTTTGACAAGCTTCTTCATTGTAAAAGTGAACCTAAACTACCTGATTCTATGGATGATGAGTCCCTAGAAAATGCATTTGCTGATTATTTTATTGAAAAGATCACCACAATACGTGTAGAGTTGCAGGAAAAAAGGGATACTACAAATCACGCCCAAGTTGAACTGCTGTACAGTGGCCCTGGGTTTAATCACCTCAAGTCAGTATAGTGTGATGAACTGTCTGACCTGGTTCCTAGATCGACTTTGAAGTCCTGAATGCTAGATCCGATACGCGCGTCAGTCCTCAAAGACTGCTATGTTCTGCTTCTTTCGTTTACGAAGGTTGTGAACTGTTCTTTGCAGAACTCCACGCTGACTTCAGACATGAAACGAACCATTGTCAGGCCCTCTCTCAAGAAACCATCACTTGATTAGCAACTATATAAGAATCTCAGACCGATTTCCAACCTGATGTTTCTCTGCAAGTGCTGCGAGAAGGTAGTCGCGAGTCAATTCATTTCCCATCTGCGAGAAAATAAACTTGAAGAGACCATAGCACTGGGCCATAGCACAGAATCAGCACTTTTGCGAGTGCATAACGATGTGCTACGTGCTCTGGATGATGGAAAGTGTGTGATGTTAGTACTGTTGGACCTGTCGGCAGCGTTCGACACAGTGGATCACGGCATCCAACTATCGCGTCTCTCCCAGTGCAGTGGTGTTCAGGGCTCTGCCTACACTTGGTTTGAGTCTTACCTGTCCAGTCGTTCACAGTTCGTCCAAATCAGAGATACTAGTTCCTCTAATCGTCAACTGACCTGAGGTCTTCCTCAGGGGTCTGTGTCGGGCCCAATCCTATATTTGGACTTTACCTTTTTTACCTTTTACCTTTACCTTTTAAATAATCTCCGGTTAAACAACAACAAGACTG